TCAATTTACCTTGTTAAAAAAATGCTTAAGTCCATCCATCTAACAACAAAACAGTTAAATTGAGAAAATAACAAAAACTTAGTAAATTATTGGAAAAAAGAAAAAAGTTCTTCACCGTTGAGCATAGATAGATTGAATTAAAGACAAAAGAAATTGTTCGCCAGTCTCCAAGCAATTATTTACCGACTTTGAGAAACTGGATGGCATGGCGACTACAATTACAAAGCGACGATTGCACAATTGGATACGATAATAAAAATAATCAATTAACTGTCCGTCCGTGTGGGTTTAACTGTCCATCGATAGCAAGGAGCTATCGAGCTATTCGACGCCCACGAAATAGTTTATCGATGCAATTTATTAGACCAATTTGCTTATAGATCGTATCGTTTGCTAAACAATCGAACCTTATATCAATTACAATTAACATTATGTGGTTCTTTAAATCTTGAGTGGGTTAAAATTCTAAAACAATTGAGCTAATGAAGAACGTTGAATGTATTTGTGCGCCTCTGCATTTTGTTTACAAGGATAAAAAAACAGTTGCAAAAAGATTTGTAATGATTTTTTGACGTGACAACGTCTTAAATTAGGTTGCGGCTGGGAGTCACTTATGAAAAAGTGTAACGCTCGGTAACGTTACGATGAGTTTAAGTTTACATGTACAATGTTTTAGTAAACAAAATATATTTCTATAGTTAAAATTTGTGCAATTCTTATTTTCATTCAATTCCTTGTTCCTATTGTGCAATTTAATTATATTCATATCAATAAATATTCTACCGAGAAAAAGACGTTGTCACGTAAAATCTTCGCCCGTAAAACCGACTTTACAGGCAACCATTTTTTTTTTATAATCAGTTATCACTGATTTATAAAAAAAAACATATTTTTTTATATTATAAAGGTTTATCGAGAAAATGCGTCGCATTTCCATACATTTTCTGCGGACTCATGCGGTGATTAATAAAAGTACGATGAAAATCAAGTAAAGGCATTGGTGCCATGCCGTGCCTTACCTCCTTATCTGAAAAGATTCGATCCGTTCATATTAGAAAACTATTGACTGTAATTCTTTGGTATGGCCTACTGGCATGACTTTACAAAATATTAACTTTTATACATTTCTTAGTTGGGTTGGAATTATAATTACGGGCATAGGTAGGTATAATAGGTATATTAGAATCTGTGCGGAAAGAGAATGGGCGTGGCGAAAAACGGAACTAACATTAAGATTTTTATTTGGCAATCAAACCCAGCAATCTGTAAAACGTCAAAGTTTTGTATTGATACGGATTTGTTTGTTGTTGTGATTTCTTGCGGTTTTTTGTATAATCATGTCTAAAAGGGGTAAAACCTTACAAATACAGTAGAAAAGCACTACGGCGCCCTCCAATCTAAATCCCATTCTCTTACCGCACAGACTCTATTTGTGTATTTCTCATGAAAATATTACTGACTTGTAAAAGTGGTATACACACTTGGTCGATCGATCACAACGAGATTCTGATAGTCTTTTACGTATTTGGTTCATTTTTCCCTACTGTGTGTGAGCTTGTGCAACCCCATCCCCATGCTTGGATCATGCATATTTTATGAGTTTACAGTGATATCCCCTTTTCATGCCGGCGACGCAGCATGCTATCAAGGACTTTTTATTGCAACTTCGTTACCGAGTTTGGGGTTAGAAAATTACTAGTATTACTAGTGTCGTTGACATATATAATTGGTATGAAGCAATAATAACATTCTGCATGATGCGATGACTATACGTGTGATTTGCAATGTGAAAAGGGTGGCAAACGAACATATGGACTAATAATGTGTGCAGGTTAGGACAAGGTTGCATTGCCAATTTCCCAGATTTCATTTCTCTATCCATACAGTAAAGTTCTAGGGACTTTATTTCCTATCGTATAGAAATAATATTTCTTAGGGTTTCTAAGGGAATCTGTATTATTAGAGCCAATGAGTTTAAGAATAAGATCACAGTAAAATAACACTACCTTCTGGTGGTATTATTTTTCTGTCGGTAAGTAAGGTTCCAATGGAACCGGTGGTAGTTTACGATAGTTAAGGTCAAATAAATAAACTATATAAATTATATAAAAAAAGAAATAAATTACTTTATTAATTAAATTAGCTAATAAATTCAAGCATAGACAATAAAGTTTTAAAAATGTTCCAATGAAATATCCGAACGCTCAATAAAAGTCTTTCAGGGGTAAAGCTAGCTCTACAAAGTAAATAAAAAATCATTATTTCCGAAGACGCAGTCCTGCAAAGGATGCGAAACGTCAGATAAATAAATTCAGTGCATATAACCCGTAAAAATCGTTTTATCTTAAGTATTGGTTTTTTTTTATTTATTTCATGATATTACTTTTCCAGTACCTACGCATACAATGTGGACATTTATTTATCATTCAGGTGAACTAAAAAACACAATTCCGAAGCTTAATGATTACAATCCGGACAACGCCCCAGTTTATCATGCCTTGCGTCCCAATTTTCCATTATTGTGCTAAAAAAACTACCGAGTCACGCAAGTAAGTAGTTATTTTTTTTTTGTTGGGGTGTAGGTGAGAATTCTACAATAAAGTATCATTAAATTAGGACACCATTTACACAGATAGAGGTATCATTAATTTTAAAAAAAAGACTACTTTTGATCCTGAATTAAGTTTAACTTTCAATCCCTACTTTTTAATGCGCCGTGTTGCTATTGTCTCATTAAATTTTTATTACTAAGATAGTACCAGCATAGACTTAAAAGTTTTTTGTAGTCTCTGTGTGTGACTTTTCTATGTTAAAGGGGTGGGAAACGAGCATATGGCCCGCCTGATAGTAAAGAGCCACCATAACGTATAGACTCTTGTTATAAAAAAAATATAACTCGTGCCGTTGTCTACAGACTGACTCAGCGACAGAAACACAATAACAACAAAAGAGTGTATTTTTTTCAATCTTTTTTATTTAGAGGTTTTTACCCAATATAAATATATGTATGCATGTATATATATATAGATATGTGTGAATATATTATGTATAGTTATTTATATGTTGGTACTTTTATGTATGTGTAATTATATAATAATATATGACTACTACATATTTATATGTTCGTTTTTCTGTAATTTCCATCAAAGTTGTGCACCCTACCACTATTTATCCACAACACCCTATGATTGACTGGTAGAGAATGCCTACGGCATTAATTCCGCCTTTGTACGCTTGTGCATTAAGTATTAATAAATAAATAAATAAAGGATATGCCAGCCCCATCATATTCTAACATTATAAATTACAAATTTAATATAAAACTACGACGATTCATTGTTGCAAAAAATATATATAAGGCTTTTGAATACTTCCGACTAAATACTACTAATAAAAGATAGTGTTATTTCACTGTGGTCTGGTTCTAAGGTGGAGGTTATTTCCTCAGGCAGGCGCTCCAATTCGAGCGGCAAATCCGGTATGCCCCCTACCTCTCATAAAACTTGTGATTGTAAGAATATATCACGCGCTGGACAATGAATGAAGGGCAGTCTGGTAAAAATGAACCCTGTCGACTTCTTCTGTGACGGCTCCTTAGAGATTTAGCCAATATCCAGAATCTAGAAACATATTGGTACATACGTGGCAACTACTTGAGACTGACTAGTGATAACTAAAAAAAATGGCAGAAATATTGCAATACCAACTTTTATAATAATATAAAATTATGATCCTAAAACCGTGCCTAAAATATCCTGTTTTCTCCAAGTGTCCAATTATTATCATTTTTTAAATTTCAATGTATAAGATACTGCATAGACCAGGTTACTAAATATTAACGAATTCTAATTTTACCACAATAGCACTTCCCCCAAGAATCCGCTAAAACTAACTTATTACGCCGATAGTGATAAATTAACAAGTCAATCGATCGACAAAGCGGAAACTTGAAAGGGAAATATACTTGAACCAAATAAAAAGCGTGTTTATTAAAATACTATTAGCATAAATCAGCCGACAATGGCAGTTCATTCACACCCGGATATCGAAGCTTTTATTACAATTTTCAAAGGAATGGAAATAATTGTTAAACCCTTTTTCAGTTATGTATAAATCAAGCAACAGACAGCCAGTTCATACAACACCTTTTACTCGTATAAAAAGCCGAATGAGGAAAATGTTTTCTAATACTTGCAGCAAAATAAAGTGACTTTCATCTCACAATCAGGAATCACTTTGACTCCGGGATTAAATATCGGGGCCGCTGGATACGCAGTCAGGTCAAGAATAGTCATTAACCAATAGGATTACTCATTGCTAGGCCAAACGGGGGGAGAATAACATAAGTAACAAAGTGCGCATAGTGCGCAGTTAAAAAAAAACGACGGGTTGCACTCCGGGAGTGCCGGCAGAAGTGAAAACTTGAATATTAACGTTGTGCATTTTTGATATATTGGTATGGTTAGGGAATAATTTTGCACGAATTGCTTTAATTATCAGTATAAAAGTACTATCATGTATGAGGTAGAATACAATATTTATTTATTGCGCTATCGTACAAAAACATGACAATTGATATTACATTAAAAAGTTTATCTCTCAGAAAAATCAACTTACATGAATCACGTTTAATCGCACTTAGCGACATCTATTGTAAAGAAATCAACTTACATGAATCACATTTAAGCGCATCTAGCGACATCATTTTTAATAAAAATGCATTTTCTTTGCAATAAAGCTGCCACGTGGACGTCCTAGATAGAGTATAATACGCTAAAATAAAATATTACTATGTTTCGTCCAATATATTGAAAGTCAACAACCTTTCCAATTTTATTGTGTGTCATCATGCGATCAGCCCACGTGTTTAACCTGACGCGAGTTTAACATTTTTTACCTATACAAAAAAAGTGTACAACGCCGCTAAAGAAGTTTTCACTTCAAAATAAATAATAAGGGAACTCATAAACAAATGTTCTCACATCCGTTATCTTTTCCAGAGGGAATGTATCTCCGTCCACATCGGCCAGGCCGGCGTGCAGATCGGCAACGCCTGCTGGGAGTTGTACTGCCTGGAGCATGGCATCCAGCCTGATGGCCAGATGCCTTCGGACAAGACCCTGGGCGGCGGCGACGACTCCTTCAACACGTTCTTCTCGGAAACGGGCGCGGGCAAGCATGTGCCTAGAGCGGTCTTCGTGGACTTGGAACCAACTGTCGTCGGTGAGTCGCAACATTTAATATTATCTGCTAAGCGGCGGCGGCGACTCCATTAACACGTTCTTCACGGAGACTGACGCGGGCAAGCATGTGCCTAGAGCGGTCTTCGTAGATTTGGAACCTACTGTTGACAGTGAGTCGCAACATACAATCTTATCTGCTGGGTGGCAGAGACGACTCCTTCCCTCCTTTGACTCTTTCTTCTCGGAGACTGGCGCAGACGTGCATGTGCCTGGAGTGGTCTTCGTGGACTTGGAACCTACGGTTATCGGTGAGTCACGAGGTTATAACCATATCTGCTGTGCGACAGAGAGATTCCTTCACTCCTTCAATTCACTATTCACGGAAACTAGCGATGGCAAGCAGGTGCCTAGAGAGGTATTTGTGGACTTTGGAACCTACTGTTGCCGATGAGATGCGATGTTGTAAATAGACCTTTTAGTTTAATTGAAGTAATTGCTTTCACTTTTTGCTGTATATGTACCAGTAGAGTAGGACAACACTTGGCTACATAATTTGACGTCTCTGGTTTAGTCGGTAATCATAACGTGGACACATCGTCAAAAATCTGGGCTACTATGCTAGGCTACTGCTATGAGTTTCAGCAGGACAGAACATAAAGGGCGAAAGATACATCTATATCTGTACTTACGTTTACTCGTATATATATAGAAAAATCAAAGAGAATATGGAATATAAACAATGAAATTGTTTTCTTTGTTGAAGATCTAGAAACGCATACGCACGTCTTCGTGGCGTCTGGTCGAAATGATTACTAGTAAAAAAAGGTTGCTATAAAAACTTACAAGTTCTATCGTCTGCGATGACATTTTAAGTTTCAGAGTTCGTAATAAAAGCGTGCCTGTTTTGTGAAGGTTGTAATTGATCTAGCGGGGTATTGAACCGCGGACCGAGCGGTATTTGGCAACCAACCGAGCCGTCATTACTGGACCGAGTAACTCCACAGTTTCGACGCTGGACGATGACCACTAAATTAGTTTTAAATTGTAGGTATTGTATTTCCCGGTAGATAGACGTCTGTGGGTGTACTAACTAATTTAATTTATAATCAGCTCAGTTGACTTATGGCGCGATTACATTTGGTCGTTAGCCTGAATACGAGTGACAATGCAATTCGGGTAAACGACTAACGAACGGAGTCGAATACCGTATTCGGGTGGATTTCCTTTTGTTTAACTTTTTATTTAACTTTAATCACACTACACACATTGGTTTTAATGCCTAAACAGTAGGATACGGCATTCCTAAACTTTTTTTAAATCTGTTTTTTATTTATTTTTTTACTTTATAGTCATAATTAGTCATATACAATTGTAATGGAAAGGGACTTCATGAGTTATCTCATATTGAAGTCATTTTTCAATTTGACGACTCGGTATTTGGTACAGAGAGAAAAAAACAGCCCTTGCTGAGTTTCTTGCCGGTTCTTCTCAGTACAAGGTCTCCCGCCGTAGATTTGCGAACCGATGGCGTAGCTTTTTGACATTTACAAGTGCTTGACTAGACTGTAGCCACCTAGACTGAATAAACAATATTGAATTTACATTCCAGTGTAAATGTTGCTTCGGGTGCCCGAATTCGAATATTTTCTTTCGTGCACCCGAATACGGGCTATCCACCAAATGTAATTGCGACATTAACCACATAATACAATAACACCCACGTTCTAATTAAGATAATGTTCAATTTTGGATTTCCTAAGGCCTCTTCTTGATGTGCTTCTGGTATATCGAAAATGTATCCCTTAGCGAGTCTTCTTATTTGGTTTACAGATACTAAATTCATTGATTTCTATTACCCCTGATTTTAAATAGTTTGAAATAACATTTCCTAATAATATCGACCCTCATAAACTTGCAATTTCTTGGTAATTGCTGTAGCATTTCTTAGTAATTTAAAACAGGTACCTATCTTAAAATCTTAGCTTGATAAATCAGTTTAAAGTGGCTATGTTTAAAGTATGTATACTGATCCCCTACTAAGAATCTATTAAAGCTGGTGAAGCCGAATACGGTTATAGATATCTGGTCGGGTCGAAACACCGGAGTGGAGTTAGTGGATAGGATGAGGACAAAACACTGTGCTTACTTACGGAGGGCCTCAACAGTGGCGCTGGCTCATACGTCAGCTTCTTCTGCAGCAGTCTCTTCCGATGCCGGTCAAGAAAGTCGTTGATGATAGTTATCACACACAAACCTCCTATTTTCGAGGAAATCTGTTCTTTAACTAAGATTGTTTATTAATCTTCACATATTTCTTTATCGGAGTTTAATGCGGCAAAATATAATCACAATTCTTGCGGAGCGATCACAAATTCGACCATTTCGTATTTACGCGGTGACAGCACTTTTTTCTTTTTTTTTGATGCAGTGACAGCCTGCTGACAGAGCCATTTACTTCCGGCCATCCGTCGTTGCAGGCAAATATATTGCGTCTTCTTCCCTCATAAGCATAAGGCACAGTGTTTGAAGGAGAAGGATCTATTGGGATGCGGTTAATTTGAAAAGAGAATGACACGGTATGAAATTTAGAGATTACAATATGTTTTGGCGTTACCAAAAGCGTTGGATTATGATTGGTCTATGATGTCCCTTATGCTGTATCCTGCTCTTCCAGTTTCCATAAGACGTGCGAAATCTCTTTACACTTTCAAAAACCTTATTAGATCCCACTCTAATGTTCTTGTAACCCTTCCATTGTTAATAATTTCCGATCACTGAATAAAGCATGTATGTATTTATTTACCTATATGATACTATAAGTTACCTCGAATATTCGGCAACTATTCGGTTATTCGGCCACTTTATTTCGCTATTTGGTATTCGGCCGAATACTGCAAAACTCAAAATAGCTTTATAAAATTTTCAGTTTATTCTTTTATACATATAGGTAGGTACTTATTTTGGACATTATTATTTGTATGAGTTTTGCTTTGTGTAGTTAATTACTTATTAACTACACATTATTAACGTCGTCCGATACTTTAACTGAGCAGTTGTGTTGCAATTTGATCCGATAGTTTTATTTAGTTTTACCTGTAAAGGGCTTAATTCTGAAGTCCGAATTGTGTGCGACTTGTGGATTGAAGCAGGCTTATCTTTTTGGAAAAGTCAGTTTTCGGATGTACTGCATCAGAAGTGCAGTCTAAGTGAATATTTGTGACGAAGTGTATTTGCTGTGAATACAAGTTGAAAATCATCTACCTTCAAGTTTACTGTTAACAGCTAATATCAAACGCATGAGAAGAGTGCTTTAACTATTTTCGACGTAGTCACATAAGAGCGAATGGTGTGGTGCAAATAAGTTTTGCTTTGTAACTCAAGAGTCCCAAGTTCAAATCACATAATTTTTTTTTTTTGGTTATTTATTTTTAATGCTTTTTTTATAGCTTTTTATGATTATTAAATTATTAAAAATATATACATATATAATTACATTGCTTCAACAATTGCTGCATTTACATTTGTGTTACATTTATTATTAAAATTTTGCTATGGATAAGAACTTTGGTGACTGCGGTGGGTGCTTCGGCGCCATCAAGGACAGGGATTTTTTAAGATGTATGCTGTGTGAAAAGAAATATGACCTCCAATGTGCTAAAGTCTCTCTTCATAGATACCGCAGTTTTTACGCCCAGAATGCGGAAAGAAAGCAGAATTGGAAATGCCCCGAGTGCCTCAGCAAAGCTCCCAAGGTTGATAACACCAATACTCCCGTACAATCCACTATTCATCGTGAAACAACTGATTGCCGAAAAGAAGATAACAGTAATGTCACAATAAGGCCAATGCGAAACAGGAGCGTAGGCATCGGTTCGCCTACTGAAGGGGTTGCAGAGAAGGTGGTTTGTAACGAAAACTTCATAACTGAAGAGCGGCTCCGTTCTATTTTAGCTGAAACCCTGCACTCAACAATAAAATCTCTGGTTACTTCTGAACTCAAATCAATAAATGACCAGGTCAGCGAGCTTCACGAATCATTTACTTTCTTTAATGCTAAATATGAGGAAATGAAAGCTACTTTAATGGAGAAAATGGCAGTAATCGATGCATTGCAGAGTGATAACATTAAACTTAACTCAGCGGTGTCCAGCCTTTCTTACAGACTAAACATGTTGGAGCAAAATATGAGAGAATCTAACATTGAAATTAATGGAGTTCCTGAATTTAAATCGGAAAATTTGTTTACTACAGTGGAGCAACTAACTAAAACTATAAATGCTCCCATCATCAGCGAAGATGTATTGAAGGTCACGCGTGTTGCAAAGCTCAACAAGGACAGCAGAAAACCTCGTGCAATAGTGGTTAAACTACGTTCGCCTAGACATAGGGATGAGATTCTAGCAGCAGTAATAAAATTTAACAAAAAGAATGTTGATAATAAACTTAACTCCCATCATCTGGGCCTCGGCGGACAGTGCGAGCAGGTTTACATTAGTGAACATCTTTCTCCTGAAAATAAAGCATTACACGCTGCTGCTCGTATTAAAGCCAGAGAGATGAAATACAAGTTTACATGGATAAGAAATGGTAGAATTTTTGTTCGAAAAGAAGAAAACAGTCAACTCATTCTGATCCGCAATGAAGACAGCCTAAAACTTATTAAATAAAGCCTTTTATGTCGGAAATGTTGTGGTGTGTAACGGCCTAATAGTGGATATCTACTATCAAAATGTTCGTGGATTGAGAACAAAAACCAACGATGTCTATCAAATGATTTTGCTTAACGATTATAAAATTATTGTCTTCACTGAGACCTGGTTGAACCCCAATATTGCAGACAGTGAAATTGTAGACTCACGTTACATAGTATATAGGAGAGACCGTGATTTTTCCAACAGTTCCAAATTGGATGGCGGTGGAGTGTTGATCGCGGTGTCACGGGATTTTGAATCTGTACGCCTTTGTAATTGGGAGAGTAACTGTGAAGATCTTTGGGTTAACATTAGATTACGTTTAAGTGGTCGATTAGTAAGTGTTTCA